ATTTTCAGCTGCATGGTACTTTTATTGTTGTCAGAGTCAACCTACCAGCTATGTCATATCCGTCAGTAGTAGCTCAAACCAATAGCTATGAGCCACATTACTGCAGGCTGCATTAACATACACTAGTAGATCATTTCCATCCCCAGGTTACATGGCAATGCGCAGGCTGGTGTGTCTGGCTTAGCTTCCGTTTGAAGTTTAGAATGTAACCGCTGGCTTTGGCTATCCACCCCCTGGTCTGTCTTGTAGCTTGCTTTCAGACGGAGCCAGAGGATGGGTATAAGTTCCCGCCAGCATCAGCACCTCCGTGCCTCCATTACTTCAACAGAATGGATTCTCACGTCATCCATGTAGACTTTAGTGAGCCAGATTTTACTGCGCTAAACGAATATATTTCACTTCTACCCCTATTGATAGATGCTGAAGTCATCACGAAACGAGATACCCTGGTGAAGGCCGTCAAGGATCAGCTGCAACCCGTCATTCGTCAGACATTACCGATGTTTTCTTGCCACTCGGAAATTCAGGATCTGCAACTGAACTGGGACAAAAAGACGCCAGAAGAAAGGTTCCAGTAGCTTTAACTGATCCTGGAGCACGAGGCGCAAAAAGTTCGGCACCCAGGTATTGATAACATCCTTCGCCGCCTGTATATCCTCGGTCGCTTTGCGGAGGCCGATGCGAAAACTCTACGCGCAACAGGTCCTCTGCTGGCTCGGTGGTTGAAGAAATCCGGGGGCGTATCATGAGGACTATACAAGGAAGGCGGTCATGGCCGGTCAGCTTAGCAGCTCCGTATGGGTCCTTTTCATCCTCTCTGGGCCGATGCTTGGGTGAAGAGAGTGTGATCGATCCGCGTGCCTTTCCTTCAGGGACGGCCGTCTCGGTGCACCGGGTCAGCGATTTGCAGCGGCAACAACAAAGCTGCTTCAGGACGTGGCAGACGTACTTACGTGGTGGCATACGGCGATCTTTCGTCTTTTGAATGATAACTCTCGCTTCGAAATGGTTGTTGTCGGTCCTGGTTGACGCTCCTGTAGCCACTTCGTCCTTTTGTTGACCAAAGCTGCCAACAAGAGGGTATTCACTGGCTTTGGTGGGTGGTGTTTCTTAAGCTTTTCTGGCATGTGCTCGCTCGTAAGAGGTAGGACTTTCACTCGCGGCTGCTGGTGCTGGACAATGCCGACGACCCTAACCTGAAGCATGGGCGCTACATCCCAAACAGTACCCTGGAGGTGATGATGATGAAGTCGCGCAACGAGGAGTGTCAGCAGCACGCCACCAGCACGGCCACAGGCCCGGGGGCTTGTCGGCTGACACAGCATAAACTCGCCGCTGAATGCGGCTGCAGTGCTCGCCTGTCAACATGGCACTCAGCAAGAGGACGCAGCTCAGGCGCCCACATTCCTCCAGTCGCACCGGCTTGTGGGGGCGAATGTTGCGCGAGGACGCTGTCGGCCGGATTAGTATCTGGCGGTGTGCAAGTGATACTCGCCCATTGTACCAAATGTGGACCAAGATAAGTTGGCAGCCCTCTCAGACACATGGTTGGCTATCAAGCAGGGAAAGTGGAGGAGACCTGAATTGCGACCGATCTCCCCGGATAAGGCAACGACACTAGGACAGTTCCAGGATCAAGCCCTAATCCTGTCCGATACGCTTGTCAGTCACGCAGCCAATCCAGGAGCGCCACCCATATATTGATTGGATTTCCGAGTTGGTCGCGACATTCAAGTTTGCCGACCAGGGTACTTCTATCGGGGCGTAACAAAAGCGCGCCCACTTTTTTGCCATCGCCAAAGACGAATGGCCAAAAAGTGGGTCCGGGCCACGGCTCGTACTGCGTAGCTCTATCCTTTTACGCAAGGCTTATCCCCCCTCCCCCCTTCGGGTCCCCCCTGACTTTGCGTACGAGCTTACCCCGGGCAAGCTCCCCTTGTGTCTTCATTATGGCAAACCTAGCAAGCTACGAAGTGTCCTCGCTATGGAACAAAGCCACGCAGTAGGCTGGGACCGGACAAGCAAGAGGCCACCAGGGGCCCGTTGCCCAAGTCTCCGAGAGATTCTCCTGTACATGGTCCGGGACCGTTACAAGCCGTATGCCCGGCCAAGGACGTGGGATCAAGAACGGTCAATTGTGATGAGCTGGGGCAACGGAATAGTGCTTTAGCAAATATATAAGGACTTAGGGAGGTAAACAATCACAACTGCATACATAAATAACGATCGAGCGACTGAGGGTTTCGGGTGTGTTGTGCACTCAATATGGTGAAAGTACAGGTAGTTACTTGCGACTCCAGGGTCGCGACGTGTGGTCGTGCGTTCTGTGGAGGCGAGCTCCCTGGCCATCCCGACGTAAGGGAGTTTTCCTTGTCTCAACATCTTAGAATATTGCCAATATTCTTTCATTTCTCGGGCTTCTTGGCTTTCGTAGCCTCCTCATATGATGGAGGAGGCTGCCGTTCCCTCGTCAAGACTGCTAAGAACTTCGCATTTTCCTCTGCAATCTCCCTTTCATGCTTTTTCTTGGATTCGTCCTCCGCTTTCTCTCGTTGCGCCTTGTTTTCAGGAGCAAAGAAGAACATAATGCCTGAGTTTCTACCTTCAACTCGTACTCTTGAACGTAGAATGCAATCTGACGATGAGGGCGTGTAGACGACGGTCGTAACAGACTGAGCTGCCGAGGTGTACTTAGCGACGGTTTTTGAAGCCAATCTGAGTGAATTGTCTGTTGAATTATTGCATATGAGCCTGGTATCCCGTGGCTCTTTATATACACGAAAGCGCTCTTGTCGTTCGAGAGCTGGCGAGTTGGGCGGTTCAATTGCTGCCAATGATATGCAGCCACATATACGGTGGTTGAGCGAAACACAGTACAGTATGTACAGTAACGCCATTTTGGCCTTTGATTGATTCGCGTTGCATCCCGCGGGACAACGGTGAGGAGACAACCTATAGGAAACAGTGTCACCGTGACGTGGCGTCCTCTCGCAGTATCGGCAGCCGTCCATCCGAGCCAGACAATTGGCGAGCCTTTCAGCCAAAGAACGCTACGGGATGCGCCGACAGCAAGAAGACGGGGTGGCTGGGTGATTAGCCAATATGCGCTCTGAATGGTGTAGCGTCACTATGCGCGCGGCCGCACACAACCCTGAGCTGGGTAACCGCATCGCGTTCATCTTCTAAAGATCCTTGAAACCCTGGGACACCGAGTGCACACATAGCATACCCGACCATATGATTGTATGGTGCAGGCTAGTAGGGTGTCTGCATCTCGGGTCTTGTATGATCCCATCTGCTGCGATCGCTTAATGACAAGGCGCTCGGCGGGTGCGTGCTCGCTCGTAATAGGTGCGACTTCCAATATTCCACACCGCGTTTGATCGGAGCAGCAGGTATGACGAGCTCCAGACTCGAAGCGCACGAGATCATAGGTCAGCAAGAAGGTTTGGAACGTGAGAGAATACGATAAATCTACTATTGCTGTCTGTTGCAGCCTCCCAGGCGTTGTGATCATCGCGGTATCTCCGGCATGGCGATGCATTGGGGTTGGCCAGGCAGTGATCTGACAGCACATACTTGTGTCGCCTAGCACCTTCTTGCCGCGCAAGTGGCTGCCGACTCACTACCCCTGCCTGCCCACACTTGCCCTGGCTGTCCAGCACAAGTGCCAAGATACCGATGCTTATCATCTAATCAAGCCATGTCATAGCGACAGCCTAGGTGATAGGAGAACATCAGACTTCGGCGCCCGCATCCTCACGGTGGATGTCGAATACAAACGCGCCTGCCGGCGCATAGACATGCGGATACTGTGGACTTTCAGCGACTTATTAATCCACATGTCTGTCATCTTTGAAGCTGGCACAGTTGTGGAGCTACGGCGAGGGCCATGTCGTACCCTTGTCGGACGGAGATGGATTGTCAGTCCATGCACCCAATCCCGTAATAGAACCACATATTGATTGGCTTCCCGAGTTGGTCGCGACATTAAAGTTTGACGACCAGGGTCCCTGGCCAAAAAGTGGGTTCGGGCTATGCTTTTACGATAGAAGGTACCCCTCAAGAAAGCGCTTGTGCCGGCCCCGGATACGTTCAGAACAGCTCAGCAGCCGCTCTCGACTTCCTCGTAAGATCAACACGATGTGCGTTGCACCTCGGTATAACAAAAGTGCGAATCTGATGGCAGCCGCCGTGGTCAAGTGCGGCGGACCACAAGAGCATAGGAAGCAAGGAAATTAAGTCACGACTGGGGTCACTTCTGCGAGCCAAGATGCGAACTTCTCTGATGTGCGGACCACCATAAGGCAACCACGCTATACCGATACCAGGAAATAGGGGCGCAAGGCGAACAACCAGGCCCAAGAGTTCTTATTCTCAGAAAATCTCGATCATTACTCAACTCAAGGACGGTCTGACTATATGCCCAAGCGTTTCCACAGTCGCACAGCATCAGGAGATTCTATCCACGTTAACGTTCCCGCTTTCCAGCAGCCCAATTTAATCTCTAGGCGCATACCTGTCCAAAAGATAGAATTTCAACTATCATGACATTCCGGGTGAGTATTGGAGCTCAAATCCCGAATTTTGTCAGATGCCTTCAACAGAACCTGCGCCATGACAAGCCCCCAGAAGTTATCATTTAGACCGAGGCTAGACGCTAATAATTGCAACGCAGCAAGCTCGACACGTCATGGACAGCACACCAAGGCGCTGCTCTGCCAAGAATCGGTCTTCTCGTGCAGAAGCACGCAGCTACAGCAGGAGGACGTCGGGAAATCCCAAGCGCGAGCGCAGCCAGCCAGAAGAATCTGCCAGGTTAGTAGCTAACACTGCAAGTCCTTGGACCAGCTGATCGGTTTCTTAGTCCTGACCAGAGACATACAGGCGAGCATGCGGCCGATCTTGGCCGCATTGAAACAATTCGACGTCAGCCTTCTGAAATTGACTCAATAGTCAATGCTCTCAGCCTCTCTGAGGGCGGCGAACCACTGCAGCCAATGCCGTCCAAGCGCGGCGTCGAGAACAGTTCACCCAGTGGCAAAAGGACCAAATACACCAAGAAGCATACCAATACCTTACCAACAGCGAGTATCCAAAACTTGTCGACAAGCCACTTCAACAATGCACCTACCAATCCTAAAACATACACGCTGGCTGAATTCGCCCGCCAGTCACATCACTCACCACCTCATGGCAAGCCGCCTGGTAGTCTGGTCGGAGACAAGGAAGGTGATGATAGTGATGCTCTTGAGGGCAATACGACCTTGCTGCTTCAGCCAGACACAAAACCTATCACACAGGACCAGCTCGTCAACGAGGCTAAGGGAATCTACGCCGGCCTTGTCATGGTTGAACAGAAAGCCGTTGAGATCATTTCAGCCCGTTTTAAGGCTGCGAATAAACTCAGCAATGATCAATGGCAATCGTTGATTGCCCTCCATCGGACCTTATTAAATGAGCATCACGACTTCTTGCTGGCAACTCAGCATCCAACTGCTTCACCTGCCTTGCGACAGCTTGCAAAGAAATACGTCATGCCAGCACGAATGTGGAGACACGGCATCCATTCATTTCTTGAGCTTTTACGCCAGCAATTACCCGCTTCTTTAGAGCATATGCTAGCGTTTGTTTACATTGCTTACAACATGATGGGACTTCTTATGGAGACCGTTCCAAGCTTTCGAGAAACCTGGATTGAATGCCTTGGAGATCTTGCCCGATATCGGTATGTCAAGCTCTTGTGTCTGTGCTGTTGGTTGGGCCGTGTAAAGGCAGCGATCCAGTATCAACCACCCAATATGTAAAGAACAGACCGACTAACTGTTTAAAACTAGGATGGCGGTTGAGGAAGTCAACTTGCGTGATCGCGAGATCTGGTCCAATGTGGCACGCACCTGGTACGACAAGGCTGCGGATCACTTCCCCAATGAGGGAAGGATCCAGCACCATTTGGCCGTTCTTGCGAGACCCAACATTGTGCAACAACTCTTCTACTACTCCAAGGCATTGATCAGTGTAAGTCCTTTCGAGAACACCAGGGACAGTATCATGTTACTGTTCAATCCGTTTTTGGATTCAAAGGACCCGGCGTCCTACAACAAATACCCGCTCGTCGAGGTGTCCTTGGTTTCTGCCTTTGCCATTCTCTTCAAGCGTGGGCCGCTCCAGGATTACCAATTGCAGATAGACTGGTTCTTGCAAGGACTCAGTGACCACATCATGCAAATGGCACCGAAATGGAAAACACAAGGCCCGGAAGTTGCTGCATCCCTGATCGCCGGGATTCTTGATTATGGCAAGAACGACAGCCCTATATGGACAATGTACCGAGAGCACATGGACACAGTAAAATCCCTAAGGAACTCCTCAGAGCCCATGGATCAAGAACAACTTGAACTTGAGGTTACGAACACTAGATCTCTACTTTTCAAGGAATTTTAGACGAACTTGGAATCCAATTTGCCTAACTTGGAGTGAGCCCCTAGACAGGGATCCACTTATGCTAGACTGGACTCTTCTGAGATTGTCACCCTTTACACTCTGGAAGCTTTCCGTTTAGCTGTTACGACTAATTCGAGAAAAGTCGGAGACCGGAATATCGTCCCATTTATGAGCTTCATTTTGAGTTTTCTGTGGTCACTGGCTTGCGTTGGAAAGCCTTTAATCTACCTAGAGGCGCATATCCTGTGGTCAAATGTTGTGGTCTTTCTTAACACGCTCAGGAGATCAGGTGTCTCTGATGAGCGCATTGTGGCCGCAACCTTCCCTCAAAGCAGTGGCACTGGCCACCAGTTGCCAGAGGATTTTCTTGCATGTAGAGCTGTCTGGGCGCAGCATATTTTCCCGCCAGACTTCTTCAGATACAATGTCACTGGCGAGGATAAGTGTACACTCAAGTTACCTAGGCATACTGCTCCTCAATGTGAGTGTTGTCTGTGGCTCAGTATCCATATCATGTCGCTTAATCGGTACATCCACTACAACCAGTCTACAAAACAGTTCTCTGTGTCCAGATATACTCTCACCTTAGAGCAAGGTGGGCTAGACGTCAGTAATTAATCAAAGGAGAACGTTTAGGAGGTGAAGATGGCGGATAGCCAGACTAGTGATGTGTGCTCAGCTGTGGTGGACTTAGACACAGGCTACATAATGATCAAGAAGATCTCTATAACAGGCTTAAGTGCAAATAGGAACGTGGGTGGGGCGTGACTTTAACGCAGCTAACATTGGCTGGGGAGATCTCAGACCATAAATCCGAGATATGGTTAGGTGCGGCAATAGCTAATTTCTCAATACACTAGCTTGGTGTTGTTTTGACATTAGAGCACATTCACGCGCATCTTTATCTGCGCTTTCACAAGCAGGAGTTGTTGGTGGAGCTTGTTCATAATGCAAGTGTAGTTTAGTAATGCTAGAAGCGCGGAGTAGCAAGTTGATATCCCCAGAGCTGTATTGAAGACATCAAGCAGCTGTCAAGCAGGTTACATAAGATAAGCGTGTCATGAGTAAGAGTGCAAAAGGGTATTAATTCTGGTCAGCATCAGGACTTGGGCATACCTAACTTTGATGAACCCCAAGTGACTTGCCTCATGTGCTTGAGGCGAAGGACATCAGCCATGGTAAATTCGCCTCTGACCCTAGATTGCACCACTACCATCGGTGGCGATCCTTTTGACCAATGATGTCGACCGTTTCTGCGTACCACGTAGAATGATGGGTGCTAGCGTGTCTCTCCGGTCAGACGGTCGCGCGATTGTGACCGCTCTCAACCCTCATAGAATAGAATGCTGCGTGTGATCTGGAGATACAGCGACAGACTTATGTGGTTTGCACCACTGACCAATGGGACTGTGTTTCTGCGTTTCAGGTTCTGCGGCCGTTCGACGACCATTGCAGAGCACCACGCTGTCGAATGGGTGGCAGCTCTCAGCCACAGGGTTCCCACAGGCGATAAAGCAAATCACTGCCACACCATGAGATAGATCGGTGGGTGGTAGCTTGATCCACAACGCCACGATTGTCAATGGGTGCAGCTCTGTTTATTAAGGCTGCACGAACGCAACCCGGAGGAATGCCGATCATCTCATTTTCGGAGTCAGAGCTATATCCCACGTTTGTCCAACATTTCAACGTCGTCGCATTCGAATTTCGTCACATTTACCACTTATATGCGCTGGTTATTGCTTGCAACAATTACAATAAAGCTACTGTATCAGTCTTCGCCGTCGTCCAGTGTTGCCATGGCAATGGTGTCAAAACTCATTAGCAGAATCTTGCCCATATCCTTGATTTCCGCGTCGACTATCTCGTTCAATCGTTTAGACACCCGTACTTGAGCAAGTGCAACAAGCTTGTGGTCAAGTTGCACGAACAAAGGACAGGATGTCATTGCTGACAGCAGGATTAGGTCTTCGACAACTCATTCACAAGGTCCTATGATATCTGCCCACGAGCAGAAAAACTCCAGGGCAATACCGTCCTTCGTCAAGCTAGCAGAAGTGTGAGATCCAGCCCAGACTTCGATGCTTCCTTGGTCATGAATGATGGCAGGTCGAACAGGTCCAGCTTAGTCCTGCTAGTTGGTTCCTCAGGGGCTGAGATACAATTATGGCATGATAAATTCTGCTACGGAACTCAAGCAGGATCTTGGGCAGTGCTGCACACAGATACCGCAATGGATAACAGGCGATAATTCCCTGGAGGGGCCCCCTCGCAACGCTCGGACAGCGTCCGTAGGCCCAATGTACTCGATGTCAATCTCGGCCGCGTACTAGACTTTTAAAAGTGATATCGTGCTGGCCAGCGAATGCTGGATTGATCAACGACAATGCTACAGATGCGCCTCAGGTGGCATCGCGAGACATTATCCAATACGGGGACACATTTCATGCTCCCATATCGACCAAGACAGCCGAGAAAACCTCTGGGCGGTAGAGACTATGCCAAGATATATGGCGCTTGATCCTCGTATATGATTGGTCAGAGTCAAGACCAGGTCGCGGCCAAGCCCTGCTTGTCGCTATGAAAAGATCAAGTCAGTAATTGGCTCAGCTGATAGCAAGTGGAGCTTGGGCTGCCGACCACCGTTTCAACCTCCAGACGTAGTGGACTCTCTGTTCCGACGTCTTCACAGCTACGTCTCGTCTGCTCACTTATGAGGCACGCAGTAAGCTCTGAAAACGCTGGCTATCGGGAGTATGCAGAGCATGTCGCAAAATGCAACTTATCAATCCCTCGGCACAATATCTTCTAACAAGCAACATCTATCACAAGGCGGTACGAGCCATACAATTCTGATTCAGCGCAGCGGTAGCACTCCACAAACTGGGGGACCATCTGCTGGGAATTCACCAACAGCCCAGCACTTGCGACCATGTGCGCGGTACCGAAGGCCAGGCTACAAACAAACGAAATCTGGTTGCATGACTTATCGACGGAGGAAAAAGAAGTGTGATGAAGCCAAACCCATGTGTAGGTATGCAATATCAAGACAGCGTCAAGTACTGATTATAAATGTAGGTGACAACTGCAGACAGAATGGAGTTTCATGCGTTACTCCAGCTACCAGCAGTATCAGCAAAGCTACACTATTCTCACAATTTAGTGCTATAGCTCATGCAACTTCATTGGAACAAGCCCGCAACCCATTGACCAGCACCATTTACCAAGCTCGCTCACTCAAAGAAGCAAATCCAGTCTTGGAGTGGCAGGTTGCTAATATCAAGTCTTCGTATTGACGAAAAGAATATACACTGGGGCAGTTAGCCGCGTCAAGATCCAGGCAGCAGACACAAGATGCTCTCAAAATATCATCAATCAGCCGTTTCAACACAGGGTACTCTCGTCAAGAGCAAAGTCACTGTCCAGATTCTTCCTCTTCATCGGGATCCCAGTACAGCATGCTCCCTAAAGCGCTGATGCCCAGTTTGCTGTTGGCCGATCCTGACCTACAGAGTATTTACGGTGTAAGGGCCATGTTAGATGCTCTGCCGGAAATTAAGCACTTTCTCAAACAGTTGAGCCAGCAGCTTGGGATCAACCACCTCTGCACTTCCGGGCTGTTGTACAGGATGTTTGATCAACTTAGAGATAAACTTCAGGAAAAGAAGAGGCTGATCAAGATCACTATGTAAACATCGGAAGCAGTGAGAGGCATGGCTGGCGACGCCGAAGCCTCTCGCAAAGGAGGAAATAATATTGATGCCTTAGAAGCACTGTCGAAATCGAAGGTCCTCAACGCTTGTGGGGTGAATTTGACGGTGCATCCGACGCAATAGGAAACCGTATTGACGAAACGCTCTGCTGTTCTGCCCTGTGATTGAACATCTGCAGTGGGCGCCTGCCAGGGGTAGAGATTCGTGGGGCAGGCCGAACGAGTGACAGGTTCTTTCTCGAATGGCGTATATATAATTGCTCCAGTGTCAGTGTCTCTGGTCGCTCCTTCTACTCTTACCCTCATAACTTCCTACAGGCTTCATTTCAAACCAATATCAACCTCGGAAAAGCTCGTTCCTAACTGAAACCTGTTCAGCATACATCCTACTAATTGTGACGGACTCCCTTAAAGCCATTCCTGTCCTGGAAGCCCCTCAAGTCATACGTCTCTCAGCACAGAGTTTCTACTACCACTCGCGCTAGTCAGTCTCTACCACATTGCCAATGGAACTGCTTATAAGGATGCAATTGCTTATCTTGTGCCTCCCAAGGTGGTAGAGGCCTCAATGGGCCATGCACATTAAGATTAGAAAACTATGGATGTTAATACGCTCCTTAAGAGGATAGTCTTGTTGAAAGCCAGTACCATGTTGAAGGGGATTATCCCTGAGAATCAGACCACAAAGCAGGTTCAAAACAAAGCCCTACTGTGATTCTTGAGACAGGCTTGAGACAATCAGATAAAAAGATACATCTATAAGCATTGCCAATTGCGAGAGCTGGAAAATAGTGTCATAGAACTAAGCAGGAAGTTAGGCAAAATGTACAGCATGTGTGACAAGCTAGTGGTGGATAAAGAAGATAACAGGATCACTTTCATTAATGATGACAGTAGTCATTCACACCAGTGATTCATCTAGATGAACCCAGCAGAGACAAAATAGCGCTTGTAGGTATGCTTTACTTTAATGTTTACAATAGATTGTGAACAGCAGTCTCACAGCGTGACATTTTTACGCGGTCATTTGCTTATCCCTATTCAGCTCGCGCGTACTTTTCCTGCAACTCCTGAAGTTCGCCCTTGCTGTTACTTAGGTCTTTCCTGATCCTTCTAAGCTGCTCTTCTAGTGTCCTGCATTAGCCCTGTCATTGGATGATTGACTAGTCTCTCTCCTCAACCATGGCTTCAAGGTGCTATGTCTTTTCTGTAAGCACTTCATTACATTAAGTTAGAGCTTCAATTGTTGAGGTAAAAGTCGGCGGCTTCAAGTGGTCAGATTCAGGTTCAAGACTGAAGCTTGCGCTATAGTCGCTGGCCACAATCTCCACTTGACCCAGGTCATCCCTCTTTCTGGCTTCAATAGATTGTTCTATTGGACTAATTGCACTGCAGATTTTGCGGTACGCTCCAGTGCTGTGCTTGCTCAATGGTTTCTTAAACAAGTGCTTTTTTTCAGGTAGAAAAAACCACCTGTACAGGTCCCCAGAATAGGTGAGCAAACGAACTTCATTCGCAGGTATAGATAGACCAAGTTTCTCATCTAATACTGCATTAGTTGTGTAGAGACAAGTAAAGAAGGAGTAGATGTGTAGAGGAATTAAGATAGCTGCTAACAACATTTAATCCACCAGCAAGCACGGATTCTGCTTGCAGGTTTTGTATACCTACGCTACTTTGCTGAAGATAACGCCATGGGTATAGAATCAGTACTAAAGGTATAAAGCACGGCGAAAATAACCTTGATCATTTACACGGCCATAACTAACTAGCAGCCACTTGTCTGTAGGGATCGCATAGTAATAAACGCGCCTACCGTGTGGAAAACTAAAAGAATAAGAGGTTTACACGGACAGTCCCTGGAAGCGTTAGAACCCTTGCTTATAATTCCTAAGCAATACCACAGCACTGCCACATTCAGTAGCTATTCAGTAACTACCACGTCTATATACGGTCTACTACCTTCAGGCAATCTAGTGAACATAAGTGAGGTGCCAAGCTCATGTGTTGCCCTTAGCGCTAGCATGGCGCTTCCACCCAAAACCCTAATAAGCGCTGACAGTAGTGTCTGCCTTACTAACTCCACATACACCTAAAGTCAGCCAGCTACTGCGTGTGCTTGCACAAGGCATGTCAGATCACAGTGCAGTATATGAACTGTGAATAGACTGTGGTGTCCAGAGTCTACAGGACTATATTATAGCTTCTCTCCTCCTTATATTACTAACGTCCTTACTTAAACCAGCTAACTAGAGCCACACTAGAAACCATGAGTTTTTCTTCCAATCCTATCTTGTTTATTACTGCATTTATAATTACTGCCAGGGTACTATTAGTTATCGGCCTAGGAATCAGTAGATGTTGCTCTAGAACTCCAACTCAGCGTGACTCAAAAGAACTCTCCTAAGAGCTTGGAGAGGAGAACTAGGTTATGGGACAGCGACAAAGTATTGTCTTTACACCACTGTCTAATCCGCCACCCTATTTAGCAAGGCCATGTGCCCTATCTACAAACATCACAGATGTTGTTAACACCAGCGCCGTTCGAGATTTATTCACCGCAATCAATCTAGATAATGCAGCCTAGATCGCCGCCAGCACCCATGCCTATAGCTCTCTAACATCCTGTACCAACCACACAGCACATCACTTGACACATCCACCACTAGCTGTGGTTAGGCTACCCTTCATAGATGTCACGGCAATAGACCGGAGTTGGAAGCATAGGCTAATCGTTTAATACATAAGGGGCGTACCAATAGGATTTCAGTGTTAGTTAGCTAACCTCTGTGCAGTCAGTAGGGGTGATGGAGTGGGAAGAAAAAAGTGCCCTTCACAAATCTACCGTTCCTGTAATCGTCTGGTTCACTGATTGATTGAGTCGCCTGGTTATCGGAATGCAGAGAAGCAGAAGCTGCAGATGTGAAGTAAACATTCAGCAAGCCCCAGTCCTAGAGTTCTAATCAATCTACACCTATGCAGTTGAGAGTCTTGGCATGATCATACGGGTGCGAGTAATGTCTAGCTGTCTCTAAGGAGAAGTGTACCTACTCATATGGCTCATACGAGAGGTTCCATCGGCGAAGGCGCTTGCATGCGTACGCCCGGACGACAGCCGCTGAGAATAGTAATAGAATTTGCCGGTTAGCCCTGCCAATCATAATGCAGCGACACAGCCCGGCTGTATCAAAACCCGATTCAGCCCGCAAGCACGGGCACTCTGGTACGTTATAAATGGGCAGGACTCTCGACTACTGCTATCTATTTCCTTTCACACAGCCACCCAGGTACAGTAGCCCAAGGGTTCTTGCCAATGGACCATATTCGCTTCTATAACTGCCCGCCAACCTCCAAAAAGCGCGAACCCCTAAAGAGCGAGGGCTCTACGTCTATAAACAGGCCTGTGTTTGACGTTTTAGGTCCTGGTAGTAACCATGTTCAATATGAGCAGGCTGCCTCACGAGGTCGATTTCAAAAGCTCACTGCGTCTTCGGTAGCCGCTATTGAGCTTCCGCTGGATGAAGAATCAGGTATGCTGCGTCCCTCTCTGTCTACCCATGCGGCAATTAACATTGATAACAAGGCGTGTTAACACCAGCTTCAGGCTCCGCAGGGAATGACTTGTTCCATGCAAATTCGCTTTTGGATCCTTCTCGTCTTCAATTTCCAGGCTTACGCTCTGATCCAGACGCTGAGTCAATGGAGACTACGCAGCTGCCTCTATACCGAAATGCTGCCGTTGGTAATTTTATCGAACAACAAAACAACCATAGGTCTGATCTCGGACCAGACAAGCAATCCGTGGACCCGTTCTCGGAGGTCCAGGATGACAATTACTCCACTCACATATCCGTTGCTAATGCGCATACCCAGCTCGGACATCCAGGCTCCTGGCAGATGCCATCCTTGAACAACGACCAAGGTTTACCAAGCCCGGAAATCAATGCTGCGCTTATTCTGGGTCCAAAGTTGCTGGATGAAGAGCCCGACTGTACCAACCATGGAAAAGCGGGAGCAAGGGACCAGACGGCCGAGTCTACCAGCGATGGCGGTAGGTCTGTCATTACGAAGATCCCACGCAATGCTATGGACGTCCAACCACAGCCCAACTCAATGCCCCCTATCTCCCACGATGCTATCTCTCGCAGCCAATCCACCGATACCTCGCTACCAACTGCGATAAACTCGCAAGCAATGTCACCGCAACCTTCCAGCTCTCTGGAACCAATTGCAGGGCACGACCTTTCAATTTACCCGCTCCAGCGAATGGACTCATTTCTCCTAACGGCAGTCGCCAGCGGCTTGCAAGAGTTACAACAACTATCTGCCTCCCCAGATGCCTGGATTAGCCTGAAAAGTCTTTCATCATTTGACGGTTTTACGATCCTGGGCATAAGACCGCTCAGAGACGACCGATGGCTACTTTTGGCCAAGGTTTTGTGCCCGACCTATACCAATCCTCGCCGTGACAGTAGTGCTGAAGATGTTGTTGACTGTCATACCGAGAACAGACGCAAGAGAAGGTTGGTCGGAAATAGAGTCTCGCTTGTCAACACCTACGAACATGGACGGCGAGTTGAATCTACCAATGGAAGAGTTTCGCGCCTGAAGCGAGGCAATTGGAAGGAAACCGAAGATCAAGAACTGAGCAGCATGATGGAAATGGGCATGCCATGGTCTTCAATTTTTGCGAAATTTCCACGGCGTAGCGAAGCCGCCGTGCGCTCCAGGTGGTACTGTGTACTGAAGCAACTTGCTCCGTAGATCTCCCATCACCATTGCTGCGGTTGAATTGTAATGCTGGGGATGAAGAGTGGCCTTCCGACTGGAAAAAGACTGCCTGGCGAGGTATTCCTCATACACTATTTGCTCACTGTAGAAAACGGAATAGTTGTCGACAACCAAAGAGTGATATGGCGCTTAGAGGATTCATCCCAACTTTCATAAGGGACAAAGGTAGTGGTCTCTTTGTGGTCGCACCTCTTGCTTGATAACAAGCGCCACAAATGTTTATCCGTCCTCCACATTCCGTATCTTTGCAGTCTTCACTCTCCTCTTGGAAGGTCTTTGTCCGTTACAAGCGCACATATAGGCTGACCTGGCCTGGGCAAGGGAATCAACCTCCCTTTCCCTGGCTGCACCTCATGAAAATCGATGCTGTATTCGGTTGAGTCCTGACCAATCTCATGGCCGCACAGATTGCGACGCAAATCTGTAATGAGCTAATTATACATCTAAAAACACAAGTCTTGCCTACCAGACTGCTTGAAAAGCCGCTTTCAGTCCAGGAAACCACAGAAACAGGTACGTATCGTCATTAGTAGTAAATAAGGGCGCACATGGAAATTTTGGTCTGGACTTGCTGCTATACCAGGGATCTGTTGATGCTTGAGTATCCTGAGACCATCCTAGATTCATCTTAGTCACGGAAATCAATGAGACAATAGATACTGACCTATGCGGCAGGTACCTAGCTATTAATCCTGACCACTATATTAAGCGGCACTATACTAGAAATCATCAGCCAATCACGGCTATTAGCAACAATAGAGCCGTTAAGCAAGAGATAGTGTAGAAGCCTAGACCATTAAAGTGTATGTATAGCGATAGGTGATAACAGCTAAGTCAGCCTAGATCTTAGCGTTAGACTAGTAAGGGTACTAGCGGATTGCAGCACTAGCAGCTACAACAAACTATTCAGATCATCCTGTCGCCCTTGGATATGTGTGTTGTCTACCTCAATTATGAGCATCTAAAGTAGTAGACAGGCAGCAAAAGGGCTTAGCTGATTCAAGCACAAGACTTTGTGCAACAAAAGTAGCTTAAGCTGCAGTAGTGCCACATCAACACTACCAACAAGGTGAACACTATAGCAATAAAGGTACCTCAGAGACTCCAAAATCCTGCTAAAAAAGCTGTTAAGCTGGTTGGTCACTACCAGCTGTCTATAAAGGACACACGTCTCTAAGCATGGGCTGTAACCTGTGAAAGCTTTAACAAAGCTGGTCTAAGCGTCGCTATCTACACAAATACTTCTAAGAGTTAGATAGTGGCTTAGGTCAACTAAATGGGAGTGCTAGTGTGGTAAACGTTCACAGAAGTGAATCTCAAGACTATCAAGCTTTAATAGTGCAGGTATGACTTGGAAAGGATATTAATCACAATCAATGTGAAGAGTCAAATAGCGCAGATTCAACAAACTGGGATGGTTGAGTTATTGAGGCAGTCTCACCAACAGACTACTCAGACAACTTTGTCTCAGAAGCTGTGCCGGGACACTGGTACTATCCAGCATATCTAAGCTAGTACATTAGCTCTTGTATTAGCTAGATTTATTCTCCTACCTGACATAACACAGGTTACAGGCTCAAGCTATAAGGTTCGCAAGGATGGAAAAAGCTGATTTATACACACACTGCAGTTTCCAATTTAGGGGGAGCTCTTGAACATGGTAGGGACACAGACAGTTAGTAACTGTCAGCTGTGTCAATTAACAAGCATGTTAATCGTCTAACAGGATTTCAAGGACTCTCAAGCAGTGTAACTCTACAAGATTGTGCCTAGAGATTAAAGTCGCACAGGTCGTATAACTTAGGTAGACAGGGTACAAAAGACGTGTGTCAAGTAAGGGCGACCTGAGGCAGTTCAGTTTACAACAGGTTAGAATACTCAAGAGAAGGTTGCGCCTATCCAGCTATTATAACTTATCAGTGATCCTCTACCTCCCCAGGAATGGGACATACCAGTGTCAAGATGGCTAGGATGATCTCTGCTAACAGGCAATCCATAGTACATACTGTATCACTCTACAGGGGTTCAGCCCAATAGACCTAGATATCTGCGAGCAACACCCTTGTGGTATCATGGGAATTTAGACGTCCCATAACGCTCATAGGGTCTGTCAATGTACCAGCTACGGCTATGCGTGGTTCGAAAGCCAGGTACCCGTTCGAGCGTACCCGCTGTAGCATCTGGCATGTTTACATCAGGGGACTGCGAAGAGGTCGTCCTGCTCTTATCCAGACAGCCTCGAACGGCACCGTGTTCGGTGGCAGAAGAAGTCGGCTACTCGTGGAATCTGTGCTGTAGCAGCCCAGCTAGTACTCTCGTTGCTTGGGATGATCAAGAGGCTACCGGGTGCGTGTCCGTTGATCCACAGGACATATTGAGCAGAGTTACCTCCTTCAGAAGAAGGGCAAGGTCACAGTAACTTGCACTCTATCCTGTACTCAGGTAGAGGAATCGTGGCACAAGTGTGGGAGTGCCTCTCACCTGGAGATACACCCACAGCTTCGTGTGGTTAAGGTATTTGACCAATCAGAGCTTGTGTGTGTTTCAGGTTCTGCGGCTATTCAGCGACCACCTCGCATGACGCAATCTTGATGGCGGGGGGGCACATCTCTTTATTTCAGGTTATGCAGGCCTTCAGCGGGTTGGGCACATCACCTCCTAAAGTGGAGTAGATGCGCGTCTGTTGCATCTTGCGCGCTTACCCATCCACAGTACCAGACTGCTTTGGCTGGAAGAAAGCAGGCCGAGTTGCGGTAGTATTCCGCCGCTATATAGAGGACGACGCTCTGCGTTCGTAAAATCGTCAAACAATGAGCAAGCCTGTTTCTTGTGCGAAATCCGCCGTAATGTTGCCCTCCAGTTCGGGCGGAAAACCAGGTCAAGCAATACGCTAGACGTTCGATCGCAGTTGGTTGGGTTTTCGAACCAATGAGCGATTGCCTTGGCTTCAAGTCTCGAACAAACGTGATAGGCAGTCGTCAAAAGCTTAATTGAATGTAGTGTATGGGCATCGATGCCGCCTCTGGCTGGCAGCTCTTCACCCGATGTCAGCTCGATGGTGTTGAAGACATGGCATTTCTTTTTGACAGCTTTCTGAGTAAGCTGTGTCTCAGGGGACCTTGACTGCAAAGCCACCACGGGCCTTTTGGGCCGTCTTTGCGTTGATGGCGCGCACGAATTTGCACAAGGAAAAAGCATGCTTGCTTGCTTGCTAGTCTCGCATTCAATCCCCTGTACATACTGTGGGTGGCCAAAAACTGCGATTCCTCCGTCGCCAGATAACTCCCTTGTGCTCCTGTCGCCACATGTTTTGAGAAGAGAAACAGCACATAGAGTAGAACAGTGCAATACCCACTGAAGCGCCAACCTGGAGTTTCTCCAGATATACCATCCCATGCCATGTCACCCAAATTAAAGTCCAGAGTTAAACACAAGCGATTGCCACATGCTTGCCATCCCCTCACACACAAGGAAAAAGACACTAAGAAGCATTACAAGTTATATTGTCGCCGCCGTAAATACTTGGGGAACAAAGGCTTTAAATTGAACACTCGCTGTAAAGCACAAGTCTTTGTGCTGGTTAAGGACAAGGATGGCGGACGCTCACATTTCTGGAGCTCAGAAAACCTATCTAATATCTAGCCCCCGAGTGGCATAGCACTAGTTAGTAGCTTACTTAGCCCTTTTAGAAGTAATAGCACTAATGACACATATAGGCAGCTGATATCAATACTAAAGAGATTCCTCTAAGATCTAGAGACTCTGGGACTCACTAAAGCAAGAGACAGGCCCTTGGGACAAGAAATAACTCAACTGAGGACCTCTTGCACAAAAGCTCAGACAATGATATAGCCCTTAATAGCAATACTGCTACCTACCTCAGTCATGCTTGCATTACCAACTCTATTACAACGGCATCTTAATCCCAGTAGGTGAAGTCTTTCTTGAGTCACTTCTAGCAGTTCAGTTCTAAACAAGCAGCTATGTGGTGTGGTATCAGGAGTGTGATTAGAGGCTTGGAATAATAGACTGAGATCAATTCCCTCAAATCCTTGCACAGTATAGTCTGGTTACTCTCTTAAAGTCTACTTAAAATGACTAATTTATTAGACACTGTGTCTTCTTCTTAAGTCCTGTAAATATCCGCATTCAAACGCATCTCCTTTTCATATGAATCCTAAAATACTCCCTAGGCAGCCAACCATGACTGTGAAGCTTTTTAGGTATAGTAGAGGCTGTGTAGCCCCGCTCAAGACATATAGGCTTATATTCAGTGGTATTAACGGACAAGTCCATGTTGTAGTATTCGCGGAGTCACCAAGATGGGAGCCGGTGGAAGGAGCACCCAAAACACTACTGGTGTTGTGAGTAGTGAGAATAGTCGTCACTAATGTTAGTGTTACATCTTCAATGCATTGTGTACTTGTGGTTTGCTTAAGTAGGCTCGTGTTAGTAGAGGGCAACCAGTCTATAGCACAGATAGCTAAAGCAGTTATATCTAGAGCTCTGGATATCACTCTCAGCACTACCTGAAGATCAGAATATACCTTTAATCTCGGTGATTGCACTTATACATAGGTTTAAAGCTGTAAGTGAGCTCAGCGTACCCCACTTGAACTAATAGTCACCAAGAGTAACACCTCCTACCTCAGGCAAAGTAGTTTAGTTCTTGCTTTCTGTTGTTAGATAGAATCATGGGTCAATTAGATGCTAACATTTACATGGAAGATGCCGTAATACTGGACCACCAGATTAACCAGAAAATTACCCGCAAGTATATTATCGCGAGACTCTCTAGCGATCATTCTAAGAACTTATAGAAACCTGCTGTAGCTTTTAAAAGTAATGTTGCACCCATAGATAGCAGTGGACTATTTAAAATCTCCACGCAGTTTAGAATGGTTTATACAATGGACCATAAAAGTCATCTACGCATTTTCCCAAGGCTGTCCACCTGCCTAGATATATAAGTGTTTGCAGTCTAACAACCCCTTCCAAATTCCGCTAGTCATGGCCGAAGACGACAGGAAACGTGTCAAGGTGGAAGAACCCGATAGCACTGAAGCTATAAACACGCTGAATGAAGAAGCTACGGAGAAGAAATTGACTGAAGAAGCCAACAAAAAAGCAAAGAGCGGGCCAGATGATGCCATTGCCTCCACAGAGCAGGCGAATAACATCAACAATAATGCTGAGCCGGTACCCCTAGTGACTGAGGAAGGTAGAGGCGAGTTGTTTCCAGGAGTGCCATGCACAACAGTCACAAAACAGTGCAAGAAGGGCAATAATAACCCAGCACCTCTCTATCTCAACTGGTATGGACCCCGTGCTTAAGGATGGTTCGTCTAGAGCAGCACGCCGGCAAATATAGCTGGGAAGTTGGTTAACAACCTTCAAAATGTCAGTGAACAATTTCATCACGTGTTAGATTAACCACGCAAACAAGGAGAGCCACGTTACCAAGCTAGGGATGTTTCCGGTATATTGAACCTCATGTGGGACTGTTAAGGTCTCGAAGAAAGACCAATGGAGGCAGCTGAACTTCTCAATCCTAAGAAGGTTAAGCAAGCCGACCGTCTGACCACCTCCAAAGCCCGTCGAGAGTGGTTGAATGAGAAGGACAAGCGCGGTCGAAAGATCAACCACTTGGACAAGTACCCTATAACCCACGTGGACGTCAAGTTCCAGAAGAGGATCAATGAAGTGATGAAAAGACTTAGAGGCCAAAAAGAAGACGTCCTCAGTAACTGGGAGGTGAGCTTGGAATACAGGTCATTGTATCGCAAGGACCAGATCAAAGCAGAAGCTCACGTTTACGAGGCAGCACAGAACCAAGCCAAGCGTTTCACTGAATGGTATTAAAAGCAGCTTCCGCATAAATTTACCGAGTACTAGCGATCACTGAGCCAAGAGCCTACTTTACAGCCATTCAAGAGGTCTAAAGAGAGCGCAAGCCCGGCATATGATGACGAGTCGCCAGAACCGATAAAGAAAGAGCCGGACTCGAGGGAGACAGACACTCAGGGCGACAAGAAGCCGGTTCAAGAAAGGCGCACGGTTGCGTCAAAGCCTCAGCAAGATCAGTCTCCAAAGGAATCGACCCCTTCCTCTGAGTCTAATCATTCCCATCATGATGATGATGATGAGCTGTCTGAAGCAGAACAACAAGAACTTTTCACAAAGGGGTGGTGTCAAGTTCGAGGTATCTCGCCTAACAAAATGAGCAAAAGGGATCAGGCCGAGGTCGCCATGATCTAGCAAGGATGGAAGAAGGGTCGTGATCTATGAACTAGAAGGAGGAACACACTCATTTTCAGAGGAGAACTTTCTGGATTACCCCTAATATTCTTTCGTGAAGCTGGGGTAAGCATTTCCTATACATAGATACTTTAAGCAGGTCTTAGAATCTATTCGCGGACATCAACGCTCCTTAAGATGGCAATGAGTGTTCTTCTTGTGTAGACTCCTATATTGCTTTTAACGTGTTAGTGCAAGTGGCATCAGATAGTACGAGAGGTCTTACACTCAGTCTCTACTAGAGCGTGCTAGACAGACTCCCTTAGCCGTGATATCTATGGTCTTAATAGCCTGGGAATCCGTGGAGTTAAGATAGGGGCTGCTCCAGCTAGGTTAGGACTTAAACTAACGGGGACTGTTTCCATGCGCACACTTGGGTCCTCTTAGGGCTGCTGGACAGCATTATGGTCAGTGTGTATAGGGTAGCCAAGGTGTAGATCTCTGAGCGGTAAGTTCCGTGCTTTAGTTTGGGTGGCCTGGCGCTGTTGTAAGATTAATGGCGAGCTTCTTTGATTTATACCACTAGGCTGTGGCGGGCTGACTAAGGCAGCGGCTGCTTTAACGTGGGGAGCCGGCGGGAGCGGCTTATTGTACAAAACCTTTGAGCCTGTACAGCCCTGGTCAGTGATGAGCACTCAAGAAGCGGAATATCTGACCTTGAGAGTTTGTTTGTAGTGCTTCTAGGTCAAGATAGTGCCTTGTTTGTGCTCTGTAGAATAGATACACAAAGAGCAAGACGGCAGAAATAACTGCTAATAACATAGTGATAGATAGAATGATTATGATTCGTGAATTATCTAACATTGCTTGAGATCTTTCTAGCACATTAAGGGTTTTCCTGTGCGTAACGACTATGTGCCAACTTATGTAGTTATAACACAATAGGCGGTACTGACCACCTTATTCCGTGTTTGCTGGCTATTATAGACTAAGCCCCTGATGAGGCAGAATCCTTAGCTACCATAGGCAGTATCTTCTAAGGTAGTGTAACTTGGTATTAGGTCTAACTAGCTTTAACCACAGATTAGCCTGCCACACGCCCTAGCGGTTGTTGTCTTGTTAGGGATCATGGAGACAAAGGTTGCTTAGTTAAGGCGCAATTTAGATGAGTTCTTGTGTGTAGGTCCACGGCTGTACTGTAGTAGAATCTTATAAGTGGCCAAAATCGTCCGCGCCAAAGAAAGCTGGAGCTAGTCTATTTGTCACTGTTAAGCGTTAAGTATACCCCTAATCTACCTTAATAGGCACTGCTCTTGATATAGCGCAGTTAACTGCTAGTCTATAAGATATGTTGCTCTTTGAATGAAATCTTGTAGTGTCTTATAGTGTGCACAAGGTGCAGTCTACTCCTCTGTTGCCATTATTGAGTCGGAGTGATCTAGTCATTGATCCTAGAGTGGTTATGTCCTATTGTACTGTGCACGTGATCCACCACTTGCCCTGGTGTTAAACAGCCATGTTATATGACAGTGATGTCTGACCACCATGGTTCTGCAAGGCACCGGTGGCCATTATCCTCTTAATCTGACTTGATCACTAAAGTCCATTTGACCACTCGCTTTCCAAACCGCGCAACTGACTTGAATCTGTTAATATAACCGCTATATATGCGCGTTTAACAGAGATTAACCAGGTCTAGAACAAGCAAGTTCAGTACCTGAATTAGCAACACTATTAGCGAATGCAGCAAACCCTCGCCGCATTTATGTAAAGTCAAGAAAGAACCACGCTGGATCTACACTAAAATCTATATAGCTTGAGCCAAGAGAATAAATGTTTAAGAGAACACCTCAACAGGAAAGGTGAAGATACAGCTGGTGCCTTAAGACTAGGAGAGTCTAAGAGAGTAGGGCTGGACGAGCTTTAGCTTATTGTCTATCAGGTTGGACTTTAACTTGCACACACATAGAACTTGCGCGCTAACACACGAGAGGAGATTAAGGGCTAACTCTAGGCTAAGGGACTGCAGTTTCAGATTATCAAGGTGATGTGCAGTGCCCCTGGCTTCTAGGAAGAACTTAAAGAGTAGTTACTTCCTCAGCGGTCAGGAAGACTTCACGCTGCTCTAAACAAGGTTGCTTAGGTCTCTAAATAGTGCAAGTTAGGCCAGCATCTATTGTCGCCCTCTTCAAGTCTGCCCGGCCTAAATCTAGCCTGAGGTCACCTAAATGGCCGCAGAGGCACTATAAATAAAGGTTCTAGAGGCGGCAATGTATACGCGGGTGGAGAAGGTGCAGGGGTGTGTGGCGACGTCAGGCTGTAGCCACTCTTAGTAGATAGCTCGCCACAGCTAAGCGCCGACCAAAGTCCGCTCTCCACTAATCAGGCTTTATCCCCGCCCTACCTGACCGCTTTTAGTCGCGCAACTAGCGGATGTTCGTGAATAAGAGGATACTAGAAGGATGATTCCCAAATGAGGTTCAATCCCGTCGCGAGCATCCATCTATCCTGGAGGCAAAATAAAGCGAGCTACTGTATATAAAAGTGTTGTGGCAGAAAAGGATTTGCTATTTCCTTTGTCCTCCATGACATGGCACAAGAAGCTCCCTCCCTATCGTTTTCTAACGACCCTACTGTTTTGAATATGTTCCCTGAGCTGTTAAAGCAGGCTCGTGGGACATGCGCCACTAGACATGAGAGCTATCAAGGAAGCCAAAAAGCAGGGCATAACCAAGCCAGGCCTTGAGGCCACCCAGCTAAGCTTGAAGACAAGCAAATATCCTCTGATGAGAGGGTTTCCATGTCCTCCGCGATAAAAGTGCTGCACCCCACCCCTGTGGGCTGTAGCAGAGCTGCAGCGACCCTCCTCCAACTTGAAAATACCGGACAGCATCCAGATTCAGTGATGAACCTAGACCAAGCCACTGAATGCCTATATAATAGCGACTCTGCATCTCAGCCTACAGCAAACACTTACAATATGATGAACGGGACGTCAGCCACACTTACAGAGATCTTAACGGAGCTCAGGTGCCTACAGGGTCAGGTCTAAACGCTACAGTAAACGGTATCACACATAGGATTCGCAGCTCCTTAGCTATACTGGGGCAACACGTCAGCCTACTTGGATAAGAGATATCAGATGGCATAGGATCTACTATATCCTGTTGGAATTGAAGGGCAATACAATCATTACACTGTTACAGGCGAGTTAACCCATCCCGGGTACTAATGCCTCCGTCTGGAACAGGGGGTAGATGAGGTACCGGAAGCTGGGGAATGAGTGGAGTATAGGCCATATAGCTAAATGTACTTGATCAAGTTTGACAGCTGCATTCTTCCAGAGCGTGTACGCTGGGCTTCCCACATGGGTGCCTGATCACCAATGGAGACTGGGCAGTTCTTCAGCAGCACCATAAAGTACCTCGCTTCTGGCATAGGAACTTTGAGTATGATACCGTCCAGTCTCAGTCCCACACTATGCAGCTTGCCCTGAAAGACACCTTGTCGTGTTTCACCATTGGAAGGTGTGTGGGGGAAGGAGATGGAGGCCATTGATTTCAGGGTCAAATGGCATTCCCCCTCAGTTCTGCAACTTCAACCTTTTTGTACTGCACAGCATCACGGCTACTGACACGGAGAAGATAGCACAGATCCGTAGCCTTGCTCAAAGCCTGTTTATAGCTTTTGGAATGCCTATCTACTACTATTTGATTCCAAAACGGCCTGTAAGTTCACATCCTGTGGTGAGGACAGGGCCGATAGGATGAAGACAACATGCCTCTGAACAGAACCATTTTGAGGTATCAAAAGTTACAGCTTGTCAAAAGAGGTCGTGCTGTGCTTGCTGCACACCCATTTGCTCGCTATTCAATTTATTCAAGAAAGCCACTAATGCCTTCACCATTTTAGCTATCTCTTCATGTCCTTCTTCAGCCTTTTTAAGACCCAACTGAATTCCGCTCATCTGCTTCTCCAGCGAATTATTGCACTTTTCAAGTGCAGCCATGTGTCAAAGTAACTTGTTATTTCTGGACGTTGAGTCAACCACAAGCGAGACGAAACTAGTTACCATACTATTTCTTAAGTCTTAAGAGGCGTTCCTTAAATAAACGCAATCGCGTTGCAGCGTGTCTAAACTGCTCGGCAACTACTTTCACTTTAGTGCTTGATCTTATAGCGCTTCTCTACACCAGAGCCCCTAATCTTAGATTCATGCTAGGTTTTAAATGAGGTATCACTGATGCTTTAAGTGCTGGGCGGGAGGTGTAATTAGATATGGATTAGTTAACGTTCACCAGTGTCTAAATATTCAATGGAGCTATAGATTCACTGAGAGGCTCAAGGTCTAGTAACAGGCTGAAGCCGAGATCTATAGACCCATCACCAGCCAGCGGTTTGAAGACATAGTGTGATTGATTAGGAGCCTCAAAGGAAACTTAATGGTGGTCTATATGGCGTATAGTATTTGATGCTCTAAGGTAAACACAACGACAATTACTTTCGGCCAAGGTCACGCGTGACTTTTAATGCTGAGGCAGACAAGCTTGTGGGCTGCTTTTGCAGCACGGCAGATTCTGAAACGGTGACTTTACTTCAGCAATGTATGGTTTCCTCCATGAGTTTCTAGGCCCCAAAGACATCGGTTGCACCTCCAAAAGGTGTGGTCTGGCCCCGTAACTTCTAGACTGCTACCGCAGATAATGATGGTTCTTGCATGAATGCGTCTTGGCTCGAGAACTGCAGAAGAAGTGGGTCCTGACTCCCACCAGGTCACCTGTCACTCCTTGAGGCGGTCGCTGAGGTGGATCTGCCATATTTCTTCGGGTGATCACCGGGTGAAGAGTCTGTAGCTTAATTTGTCAAGTGGTACTCAGAATGTACTGGTATGCCACCCCATCACATTAACCCGGCGGGCACATGAGGCAATATCAAGCGATCTCTGATCAACCCTTGCCTCATGTCTGTGACAATACTAGAGTAGACCGACTTCTCTGGCAGGGTCCAGAATAGAGTGTTCATTAATTCATAGGCGACGCCTCCTTCATAAGTAAGAATAAGAACTTTTCCCCGGGCTACGACCTATGCCACCTGGAAAGCGTGCATCTGTTCAATCATGTGTGGCGACAGTCACAATACCCTGAAGTTTTCTTCAAGGCGTGGCGTGTTCTAATGGTGTTGACCAGGCCAGTATGTCCTTTAATACATGCACGACCTGCAGGTCATTAAGACAAGCATCAAATGCTCTGACTTAACATAGAATTAAAAGGTAGAGAGGTCGCATATCTTCTTAAACTGAATCATCAGGACACTAACGCACCCATGGCACAGGAGAAACAATTTCTCTTAATAGTATAAGTCTGCAGGTGCAGATACAGAGCTAAAGCTAGCCTCCCGTGTTAACGTATACTCAAGTTAAAGACTTGTAATATCACTTGATTACATTAACCCTGGTGAAGAAAGACTCTCACTAGATTTCAGCATGACTAAAAGCAGACTTCAAGTCTATACTATTCTCTATACTAGTGTTAGTGCAAAGTGCCATCAGTCTTGCAAGCTATATAATTGATAGCAACCACAAGCTCATCTATAACACAAGGTGGTTAAAAGCCTCAATTCTCGTTAGTGCTCTAAGTCTCTAGTCTACCTGTAGGGTCCTGTGTGAATCACAAAAGACCCTTGCCATCACATGTCCACCACATCAATCGCATGATTCTGGAGAATAAGCCCAGCAGCTAACATGGCTGCCACGCGCCTTAATTATACACTGAATTATACATTAAAACTAGATAACATGTACCTTGTTGCTTATGTCGCAAGCTTGGTACTGTACAGTATCACAGTCTGTGTTATTGGCTCGACTGATTTCACATAAGATGTTGACACTCATTGTAATCATTAATTTATTTAGACTTGGAGGTACTTCTCCTGTTCAACCCTTTAGTAGCAACATATATGTGGCAGCTAATAACGGCTATATCCACAGCATCAACTTCTGGGAGAATAGATCTAGCTATAGTCTCTTAAACAAGGGGCAATCAGACGGGTGTGCAACAAATCCCATGTAGCTAACCCTTGATCTAGAGCATGGTTGTGTGTGGTGCCTCAATAAAGGGCTTATTGCTAGACATAGCACAGTCAATGCGTTCTCAGTGTCCAATCACAGTGGTCTAACACACTATAACAGATACAATATCTCTACTAGACCTGTGCATAGACTCTTGTTAAAGGAAGGCCATGCAATAGCAGTCTCCTACTATAGGGGGGAAACGCCCGCTTAAGGGGGAATATCTATATTCAATATCATCAGGAATAGGACCATTACATGCGGCTAAACCACACTTTTTAAGGCGCCTATACCACCAGGTCCAAGACCACCACAGGACATAGCTCGTGCATATAGAGCTCTTCTAGACCAATCCAGTCAGTTTCTTATGGTCCTAGACGTAGGTACTAACCTTATCAAGCTCTTTTCTATTAACCAAGGAATTAATACAATAAAATTCCTGCATTAATACTAGATACACCCTGGTTCAGGTCCACAATACACAGTCTTTTAGTACCCCCTTGTAATTAGGAATAAAACCACCCACATATACTTGTATATAATCTCAGAATTCACCAGCAATATTATAACCTTCTAGGCGTTTTACACCAACAACACACTACTCTTATTAGATACTGGTTAAACTATGCCTACAGTGGGGGTGAACTCAACTCTAGCTATACAAGAGCGAACACAGGCGGCTAAGATAGCCATTACACCAGATAATCAGTTCCTCATTGTTTCCAACCAAAACAACAGCCTTTTTAAATCACCTCCGTCTAACTCCTTAGCAACATTTGAGCCGTCTACCTATGATGGAGCATTAACGCTACAGCAACTAGCTCCCGCTAGTGGCAATTTCCCGCGCCATTTTGCGCTGAGCTCCACCGGTCATCAGATCCTGATTAGCTTGTAGAAAGATTCAAGCATAGTAATTCTCAATCAGGATGTGGAATCTGGAATAGTGGGAGATACCATTACGTGTCTTAACATCAATACAACAGCGCCAGATGGGACAGTCGCAGGGGTGAATGCGGCCATTTAGGCCCGGGAGCAGCACATGGCGGGATGGAATTCAAGCACAGTGTGGCGCGGTACGACGTAAGTTGTGAGATAATGGAGAGGCTTGTAGTGCATGGACTTGGAGTGCAGCAGTTCTGACCTTGTCCACATGGTATTGGCCAGGATGTGCGTTACCAAAGCGCTTTTACTTGTACTGGTTAAGATATTGAACACTCGCTGGGTATCCGAGAGCAATCGGTAAGATAGTACAGGTACTTTGAAGACTTAGAGTCCTTCCGATTACGGCTTTTAGACAATCCCTCGGCCCGCTGACCCATGTATACTACGAGATTAAAGTCTGCGTCCCCGGAAGGTATTTAGAAGATCGAACTTATGCTCTTGAGATGTGAGTAGTCTCGGAGGTATGTAGATGCCTGGTAATTGGACGATACGTCGCAGTACCAACGTCGTGGTCAGTATCGATGTATTACGACGCCAGGAAACAGAACCAACCACCTTGTGGTAGAATCCTATCGAGGGCGTTGAATGCTTCGATAGGACGGATGAGTAGAGTCAACGCTGGGGGAATGGTACTGTAACGCTTCATCATAGATGGCGTGATATGTGAGTAGGATTGCGACATCAAGAGGGCCGCTGCCGCTTTCCACGGTGGAATTGCGTACGGCAGTAATAGCGAATGATGCTGTTGGCAAAGTAGTGACTAGAGACTTGTTTTCGGATCTCAGGCGGAAGCACGCGGAAGATGCCTTCCTCGGTCCCGCGATTGCGGCTACGGAGCTGGACCAGGGCGAGGCAGCGCCCCTCACTAGCGGTGTACTGCCGCTCATGCCGTTGTCGAGCTGGAGGAAGGAGAAGAGCGCGGTGACGGGAAGCAGATCCCAATCTTAAGATAATTGAGTCTTCGGTCGGGGACGATGATAGTATCTCCGTGGAGGAGACACAGGCCGGTATACGGATGGTCGAACATGGTAAACGCAGAGCATTTTCTCACATTGTTTCTGCTTGGGCGTGAGGTTGCAAAGAACACGGAACGGTCAGCACATTGCGCCACCCAGAGGGCCGGTGCAACCCATCCGAGCCTCACAGCCACTCTACAGGAGCATGTTCCAGGCTGCAAGATGTGGCCTGGTATGTGACTCGAGTGACCCTACCATAGCTGTGGTGACCCAAGCTCGTTGGAACGGTCATTATTGCCAAGACTTGGTGGCCCTTGCATTAGAGGGCCCACACAATGTGTATGGATGGTTCAGATAATGACAGGGTCTTGGGTGGGACAACCCAAGTGAGTTGAGGGTGACAATCGATGGCCACCGGATCCGCGGGGTAGATCTATGGGTTATAATTGCATCAGATGGCATGACTCCCGGGAGAGGAGCCCAGCTGCCAGAATGTCCCCTAACAGACCTAGTGTTCACTTCGACGCGCGACCACTTCTGGAAGACGAGTATGCTGTTGTTCATCAATTCATTAATCACATCAATTGATGCCAGGTATACCGCGTCAACAGTGAGCGAGATTTATCCTTCTGTCCACAAGGCTATAGCTATAGCAAGGATCTGCAACAGTACGTCTACATAAAGAAAGGCATGGATAATGAGAGAGTCTACTCCGAGATCAACGTCTAAAGAACTCAGCAAGAGCGTTTACTAAGTATTCCCGCTAATTGCGACGCAATACGTCATCTTCTCCGTGGTCGCGGCCGGGCCGAACCACGGATTCGATTGCGACTTCCGAACGAGCGTTGTTCACCAGCCCAGAATTTTCCGCCACGGCCGCCACAGAGCTACAGAGACCCCGACTACGTTACTGTCCTCGCTCGGATGCCGACGACATACATGCCGCTGGAGATCCCAATCTCGGAGCTAAGGTCGAAGTGGGGTGGTTGTTGATAGAAAAGTTGCTCAATCGGGCTTGATCCGTAACTGGCGCATATGGCTCCGCCTTTTTCACACCTTGGGTGATCGCGACGCAAGCGAGATGTAGACGACTGCTTCCATTCACTATCCATCCCGGGGCATGTCCAGACTCAGTGTGCTTTTGCAGCTGGGCATCGGTGAAGCCGTTGGCTCTGCCCATTGCTCAGGCTACCAGCAGTGACAAAATGTGATCCAACCAACTGCTGCAGAGTAAGAGCACACAAAAGTACAGTACACAGGTGGCTGAGCTGCCGTGTTGACCACAAGCGCCGCGGCTTGCAAGGTTGTTGGGAGGATTGGTACTTTCGACAGTAAGCGCGGTGACTACACGCGCCGAAGATGGGGCCAGTTGCCAAGTAACTCATGTGGGTCTTACCTTGGCGCCGAGTTCGACACGTCAGAAAACGGTCCGGACTTGGACCCTCAACTTTCGCCTTGATGGCAAAGCGACAGAATAACAAGCATGCGCGATGACAGTGATCTGATCGAGCGTCTCGTTCGAGCTGCTCTGAGGGGTGATCTCCATGTCCCGGACATAAGTCATTTCTTGACTAAGGAACCTGAAGTTCCTGAGCTTGTTCAACCCCTGAAAGACTTCTACGCAGCGATCGCGACCTTTGTCGACAACGTGAACTGCAGTCGTGCTTCTACGACTGTAGAGGAAGGTGGCTCGAGTACATCTTCTGGCGCTGGCGGTGATCAGACCCAGACACAGCCGTCGCCTAAGTCCAATGGGTGCTCTACCTCTTGCCCCATAGCCCACATCGAAACTGCCTTCCAAAAGGACGACAAGGTCGTCACGCTCCTCCCGAAAAACAAACAGCAGTGTCGGGATCTGCCTTTCCTGATGTCGCAAGCTTCCGCACTTGGTGCTAGTGATGCAGGAGTGTTCAAGTACGTGCTAAGCGACGACATCGACATCAAAGTGAGCGTTGGGCAAGCTGCGTCTTCGTCATCTTTCTCGTTGTCCTACGACGACGCCGCTGGTGGCTTTCGTGTGACATATCATCAGACAGATGACCCTATCAAGGTCAAGCCCACGACCGGTGGCGAGACTCGGCCGGAAATCCTCGCCACACAACTCGAGGGCGTCTTGAAAGATCCGAGTTGACTGAGTCAGATGCGCTATTGCACTGATTACCCAGCCAAGACTGAGGAACAGCGCCGTGTATGTGGTCTGCCTTTGCAGTCTCCCATCTATCCGTTGCCTCATAATAAACTCGATGATACCTTGTACGAGATCAACGGGCTGCATTCCCCATACGCATATCTAAGCAACGATCACGGCGGGATATTCCTGATACATACAGAGGACGGTTATCTATGGTCGCTCAATGTGCTTTACCTCGGAGAAGTCCTCTGGACTACAATCGATCCCAAGGATGCGGCCCTGGTAGAGAAGCTGTAATCGCGATGGGTCTGTGACCAGAAGGTGCGTCATGAGCGCCTCTACCTCACTCAAAAGCAACTAGACGACATGGGGGTATCCTACAGACAATTTATCCAGCACGCAGGCGAAGTTGTTGTCACTTGTGGAAATACATACCACCAGGGAGGAGATTTAGGGAACAAGCTGGCAGAGGCCGTCAATTTCGCACCACCCACCTGGTCGGTGGAAGGCTACAAAGAGTGCAAACGTGGACGGGGCGGGTGCCCCGGGTTTCCGATCCCCAACGAATATCTGCGATTCCTCCGTCCAGGTGAGCGATAGCTGAGGCAAGACGAATCAAGCCTTGGAGATGCCCATACCGGCGTCGCGTTGAGGTCATCCCAAGTTAGGGGGGCGAGGCTCGCTGGAAGCAGGGAAACAGCCGCAAAAATGTCGGACAAGCGCCAGACCAGGTTGCAAAAGCAGGGAAAGAGGAAGAGAGCCCAATCTCGGACTGCGAAAATGCCCAAGAGACAGAAGGCATCGTCCCTCGGACTTGACCTGCCGCAGACAGAGCAACATCCGCATAGGACCAATCGCAACCGTATGATGCCGCTGATCCCCTCGCATCATAGAGGCGTGGCGCCTTCCGTCCTCAAACTCATTTCGGCGCTTTTGAGCAAGCCCACCATCGTGGCGTTTTGCGACCTTGTTCGCGCCCGGCGCAGTGCTGAGACACCCCTGCGTTATTGGACTGCCGACGACGGCGCCGCATATCAGATGGAACAGCGTCTGATCAATTTGCGCAGTCTGCGGGATAAGTCTGCTTTTGGCAGATTTCTTGTCCGTGCCGAAGAACTCGGGTTGGCACGTGCGATGGAATGCAAACGGAAAGGTCGCATCCGAAACGATTCCAATGACGTTCGGGACACGCTCAAGCGCTGCGAGTTAACCTACAACACCTTCAAGTGGCACCAAACCCAGGGCGGGAAGTGGTTGAGGCTCTGTAGGCCGTACCCGGGCATACTGTGTTTCCTTTTGGCCCATGGTCACAATGTTTTCGGCATTTCGCAAGGGGATTACCTTGGCTTATCAGACCACGATCTTGACTCGTTCCATGCCCTGTTGGACTGTGAACAAGCGCAGACCCTCAACGCCATTGGTCAGCAGTTCTTGGATTCTCTGTCGCCCATTGCAGATGATGTTGAATTCCTGTGGGAGGGCAAAGAGGTTCTCTGGGACAATTTATCAACGACGGAGGCGCTCACGAAGCTAGCAACAGTCCCGTGGAAGATGGAAAACGACTATGCTCCAAACGACTATCCAGGCTGGCCGCGACCATTAGACTGGCCCGATGAGTGGGGTTGGCCTATGGACCCAACAGCTCTTCCCGCCTTCGACCAGCCGAAATGTGATTTCTGCCCACAATCACAATGCGACTGCGTCCACACCAAACTCACCTCCTCCAAAAAACCCAAACCTCGCATCAAGGAGTATGGTGAGAAAGGCCGTGGTATTCAGGCGGTTGCGACGGACCCTGGTCAGGTAGCATATGCCTGCGGGGAGTGTATCGGGGTCGTGTGGGGCAAAGTTGCACCTGTTGACGCGCATACTGGCAGTATGGTGATGGATTTCGTGAGACCAGACATCTTATACGAGCCAGTGGCCTGTCAGCTCTATTGCGAAGACAGAGGGAGCAATCTTCGACTCATCAATCATAGCTGCCGCCCGTCGGCGCGGGTGGAACCGATGAAGGTATCGGGAAAGTGGATACTCGTTGTGGTGGCGGCACGAGCCATATTTGACAGGGAGGAAATCACCGCCAAGTTCGGGAAAGCGTCTTTTGACGGGCCGTGCCTGTGCGGATGCGCAAATCCTACAGAACCCCTGAGCTGAGTCATTCCGACGCACGGGCCACAACGAGGAGTCCTTCGTTGTGGTCCGTGCGCCAGCCATGTCCGCGCAAACACACGGTAACTGGTGGGTTGTTTAATCGCAGAGCACTTTTTGATGTATAGTTTCGAAGGATTCTGCAGCGAATGTGAATCCCACTGTTTTGGCTGTGATAGATTTTCGTCTTTGCAGTTTCCCGCTGCAACGAAAGGCCTCGCAGAATAATGGTACCGGAATCCTGGAGCAGAGTGGGACTATTAATTAAGAGCTGCTCAGAGCCAACGATATGATGGCGGCACTGACTTGCCCGCGCACGTCCACTTGACTATTCAGGTTGGAATTCGCACTATTCAATTTTCTCAAGCATGGAGAATATTTCTCTGCCGTTGAATAAGCGGGCTGCTAAGGTACAGACGTACAATCTAACCTCTGTAATTACCGCCATTATGTGCGCCAGAAGTATAAGTATTGCAACAGTCATTATTATAATAGTCCGCCACATAATGGACAGGATTCACTTCATAATGCAAGGATTCCCTCCACCTCAATCAATATAGCTGGCTGACCCTAGATACAGTTAACTACAAGCATGGTCCAAGACTACCTTAAAGGATAGACACCTAATGGCAAAGCTGGTCTAGATGTGTAACCACATTAGCGCCGCTTAGATTTAGGAAACTGTCACTGTTAATAGCCTCAAGCCTATTTTCTTCAACCAATTCCTCCGATTCCAAGCTATAATGTTCAGCTTATTTACAATGATTATGACCCTAACTATAGCCTTGTTCAACTATTGTCTAGGCCATTAACAAGACGCCTTGGATCCTCTGGATCAATTAGGATAGAGCAACCTATCTGCTAATGGGGCTAGGCTCTACTGGCTATATACCGCGCTGGTGCTTGCCTTCTCCATGTTCATCTAATGCATGATCACACAAGAGCTTGGGAAAACCCTCCTCCTACAATCACGCCTTCTAAAGCAAGAGCTCAGTGAGCAATGCACAACATACTATGTAGCCATTCAGGGCTTACCCAGGACTCACCAAGACAAGCAGGGAGTCCGAAACATCTGTTCACCATGGCAAACCCATGTTAAATACATAGTTTGGCTACTGTATGGCGAGCGGGCGTACAGCCTTCTCAACAGGCAGCGCCAGTACATACAAGCCATAGAGCAGCTTGAGGCTTGCTTTGTTGCATGAATGGTCCACAAGCAAGCCGGTGCTCAGAGCACATTCAATTTGAATCAAGAACTAGTCAACCAGTACCAGGGTCTCGGCTTTTCGTGGGCAGTTCCATGGTTTTCTTAATGTCAAGATTTTATGCCCTACCAGTTTCAAAGCATCAGTTCTCTGTATAAAGGACTTGTGCACTTGTCTCAAGAGTATTTAGCCGAAAGCTTAAAGGCCAGTAATTGTTCAGCCGCTATTTTGGCTGTGGACAACTCCCAAGTTGCTCAACTTCTCTCTGAGAAGCAGATGTTAATGGAGCACTCTATAGTCAGGATATATTACCTTGGGTCCTCACTATCATAGATTATCCTGCCTAATATGGCCTAGTCACCAGCACACTAAAAAGTCTGTAGTAAAGGCATTACCTTTTGCATCAACATGTTAGTAATTCTATGGTCTATACCTATAGGTGCCAGCAGTTTTATCAGTCAATTGAACACTGCATTCCCCCTGTGGGGCAAGGAGGGGCTAGACATCCTGGCATGGGTAATTGGTCTTACCCAAGGCGTGTTGCCTCAGCTAATAACCTCCATCTTAATGTTAGTAATACTTTGCTTGTTAAGGGCGCTAACTAGGTGGCGACATTGCTTATTAACAGTGGATGTCTAAACAAGTATGTAGTGATTGTATTTTTAGTTTCTATTTACACAGCTCTTTGTCACTACATCATTGTCTTCCAGTCTCATCCCAACTACAACAAAGATACTTAATCACAGTCTCTAGGAATTACCTTGGACATTAGTGTAAAATCTGCTGTTAGCTGGAAGCTATTATCTAGTATACATCCTGCTCTAGGCAGTATTAGAGTGGGCAAGTGTAGTTATATATATACTAACTCTATTGCAGTACTGCTTTTAGCAGTCCAGATAGTAGCCGCCTCACCACCTCCTGGAAACCATGGGATCACGTAATTCTGGGCCATCTCTGGGCAAGGTGTATTCACTTTCCACCGCTATTATAGTCATTAGTAGGCTTTATAAGTATAAACAGCAATACTTTAAACTAACCAAGATTCAGTTGTTATCTACACCCTCTTCTCTCCTTTAATCCTACTACTTACAGCACTCTATATAGCACTCTCTTATGTCCAATTCCACTATATATTATTATATATCAGCAAATTTCTAAGTCAGACTAATGGCGAGCTATATTTGCAATCTTTATTCAACCTTTTTTAGGGCGTGCTTGTTATAGAGGTGGGATTTATCAGTTTATTCATGCTTAAAGCTAGCCATTAAAATGTTGCACACAATATCACCTAGGTAGTATTGCTTGCTCTCCTACTCTACTATACATGGCAATATAGGAAGCATGTCTTGATCACATATAATATTGCTAAAGGTCAGGAAGCCTCTATCTTAGAGAGTACAGCTAAGCAGTACTAAGAAGCTACTATACCTTATAAATACAACTTTATATTGAAGGTAGTAGAATTGTGTGATTTGCCTGTAAGTTATTACATGATTTAGGTCGCGCAAGACTTTAAAGGCATTAGTGATACTCTTATTACTTTTATTAGTTCAAAATTCACACACTCCTGTAATAGAGAGGAATTCATCATAAACACACATACTACACTCAACTCAAAAGGCACTATAATAATCAACAGCTGCAGTAGTAATAGCACTACAAGGTGAATAGGGAACTAATGGGGCCATGAGTGTGGTAAGCTAGGAACTCAGGTAGATTACAAGAGTAAATAGCTTATAAAGGAAGAGTTACAAGTAAGTGTAAAGCTTAGAGTCAAGTCAGTCTTAACTATATTGTTCTAACAAGGCCATATTCTCTATCATTAATATAGTTACCAACATCTATATTAAATAGAATTTCTACCCTCCTTAGTTAGTCCACTTCTTAGCCTATATTTATAGGGGGTGGTATAGAGGTGAGTTCTATTCTGTAACATACTAAAAATACTTTCTTTATTATATTTCTACAGCTTTACACTTTCGGCCACAATATATTAATCCATTATTAGCGACAACACCCTGATTCTGGCAGTATAAAGACCTAGATAGCCATCTCCTTAGATATCTATTAAGTATCTAGTATTAAAGAAACTAATGAACAGGCTTATTATGACCCTGTATAGGAGCAGTAAGAGCTGACTTATATACAAGTATCAAGGAGATGTTCTTATCTAGGCACTAAACACTAAAGTCTAGCTACTATTAGAAGTAACCACAGGTCATATAGACTCCATTATACTAGTGTAGACATGACACTACTTAATTACCTGCTTTAATCTACAGAAACTAGTACGTCTAACATATAAGTGCCACTAATAGTCTGATGTTATCTCCTTAAAAAAGAATCATGGCCTTATAATGGTATTCACTAAGGTAATAGACTAGCTCACTTTAAAACTTAATAAAGAACCAAGAAGCCTATAAAAGACAAACAACTGCTGAATAGTCTTAATGGCAGGTATTTAACTGCCTTTCTAAAAGTGTTATAGCAGGGGTATCATTAAGGGCTGAAGCATCACTAATAAATTCAAAGCTTAATCAGATGTACCACTGTTTCTCTTCTCTAGAAAGCCTGTTAATAAGACTTAGCTATCTATTATCACCATCTATAAACAGCAATAACATAAAGCCACAAAATACCTGAGAGATAAAGCCATCCTATATAAGACTACATGGTGCTCCTATGTGAGTTAGACTTTAACTGGAAAAGCCAGTCCCCACTAAAACCAACATATGTGGCTTTAGTGTTTTAGGCTAAATATAAGTAAGCTTAGCTTTAGCTACTGTGAACAGGTTGTTTACCCTTATCCCGCCATCCTGCAAAGCACCAAAAGACTTCAACACTTTTAGATAGAAGAATCTTTCTCCTGGTTAGTTCAGTCTTTTAGAGATAAAACACTTACTAACCCTGGTGTAGCTATAGTACAACACACACTAGCTTAGTTAGTGAGGCGCTGCTGTATTACATGGTTTACTTACACTTCCCAGAGGTACAGCTCTTCTGTAGCCCTATCACTCTAAAGAATAGAGTAGCTAGCTCCTTACTCTACACAAGCCTCTCTATTATAATTTATGAATATCCTTAATTGACTATTAGAGGTTGTAGTGGCCATGATACTGATTCAAGGTTGCTCATAATTCAGACAGCTATTAAACAAGTGTTCCCTAGTGCTAAAGACTTCTTGCACAACATCTTCTAATATACTCAAGTTATACTTACTGTTACTCAGTAGCTATTTCAGCCAGTTAAATATCTTGTAGAACATCACGAAGTAGCCATACTTCTTAACAGGAAAAATCTTACATACTAGAAGATAGAATTGTTTAATACTAGAATCAATTAGAGAGGCGCTAATAATGTGATTAAGCACAATTAAACCGCCTTATTCTTATCAGCCTAAGAACCTAAGAGCTGACTATAGGGCAAACTCACCTGCACTAGTGCCAGCAGTATATTTAAAGTACTAATTAATTAATGAACTAAGAGTAGCTACCAGTCTTTTTAATAGCACTAATGTAACTATACCCTTAATCCCTCTACTATTAATAGTAAGGACATTTAGCTCTACAGTCCACGGCTTAATATAAATCCTAGTCTATTTCTAGTATCTATAGACAGGACACTGTAGTAACTAGTATAAATAGACGCCCCTAGCCATGATAGGGGAGCTAGTTACACATAAATCACAGAGGCCATGGCTGGTGTGTAATATGTGCTCTAGGGCTCTAACTATACACTCCCAGCAAGTTGTTGTTGACTTGAGATCTTGGAGAAGTGTCCAGAATTATTTCAAATACTATG